TACTGTTGTCTATATCTGTGAGTTTTGCTTTTTTTCCTTTGATTCATCCCTTCACCCTTCTCACCCAACCTCTAAACCCCTCCCCTCTGACAGCTGTCTGTCTGTTCTCTGTATCCATGAGCCTGTCTTCACTTCGTTAGGTCATTTTGTTCATCAGATTCCACATATGAGTGAGATCATGTGATACTTGTCTTTCTCTGACTGGCCTATTTCACTTAGCAAAATACTCTCCAGGTCTATGTATGATGTCGAGAAAGGTAAGATTTCCTTCTTTCTTACAGCTGACTAGTATTCTATGGTGTAAATGAACCACAGCTTTTTTTATTAACTCATCTACAGATGGACACTTGGGCTGCTTCCAAATCTTGGCTATTACAAATAATGCTGTGATAAACATATGGATAGCCCACCCCTGGATATCATCTTTTCAAATTAGTGTGTCAGGTTTTAAAATCACTAGATCACTGTCTTTCACCTGCTTTTTCACTTAGATTGTGAGTTATCTGATGTAACAACCGTCATATATCCTGTATCCATGTTTCCAGAATCATGGGATGACATGTAGTAACTACTTAATAAATATTTGTTGAGTGAATGCATGAGGGTGGTGGGCTTGAATGGACACTTGAAACAGAGAAGACTCAGAAGGGGGCAGAATGAGCACTTTTTCAGATAAAGGAAGAGCTATCAGCTAACCTGCAAGGGTTGAAATAATTAAACGTGTGGGATTCGCTAACAAAGTTGCCTGATTTGGTATTCTGGTGTGCAGTGTGGTGATCAGTAATTTGCTGAAGGTCCAACAACTTGGAACTGGTGGTTTCTGGATTTGCACTTTTGTCTTTCTGACTTCAGGGTTTCCCACCCAACAACACTCCTTCCTCCCCAAATTCCTTCCCATAGTTACCAGACCACCACTCAACTCACTACAGCCTTGGCCCTTCCCACTTAGGCCATCTGAAATATTGTCTGCCCCAGACACCTTCTTCACATGATTTGTTTTCTGAGTTATATTTTTTCCCTCTTGCCTAGCTCTCCACTGTGGTTTGAATCCACGGGGTATTGATCATCCTGCTCATACTGAAGGCATTAAACTGCAAATTGAAGGTGAAGGTGTTGAGTCTCAACCCATTAAAAACAAACATTTCCAGAAGCTGCTTGACCAAAAAGGAACCCCCAAGCGACTGCAGGCAGAAGCTGAGACGGCTAAGGTAAGCAGTAACCCGATACATTAAGGAATCTCTGAAACTGCAGCATTGCTGCTCTGTGGTCAAGCCACAAAGAACTGATTGATGGTGCTCTCACTAATCACAATTGTCCCTTCAGTTTAACGAACACTGCTTCTGGATTATAATAATCATAAATGAAAATATTGACTGCCTCCCCATTGGGGTGAAATCAAAACACATTTGTGGTCAATCTCATAGCATGAGATTCTGAGTATGGTAGAGAATGGGCTATAGGGAAGACCGCTTTGAACTTAAAGCTGAAAGATTTGTTTGCCAGGCTCAGATTTATCATTTTATGATGTTGGGCAAGTCCTGTGACTTTCCAAGCCTCAGAGTCTTTATCTATAGAGAGTGTATCCTAAAAGCTGCCTCCCTCATCAGATTGAGCAGATGAAATAATACAGTGTGTCTGAAAGTATTTTGTAAAAGGCCCAGTTGGCTGCATGAGTATTGAGGGATTTTTGCTGACAAGCACTGTTAATAACTGACATTGGAAAATAATTTTTACTTGATAGGGGTAAGGGAGACCTATGTGGATTTAGCTTAGTCCACTTGTACTTCTGTAACAAATCACTTCGACTAGATGTTTTGTAAACAATTAAAATTTATTTCTCACAGTTTTGGAGACTGGAAAGTTTAAGATCAAGGTGCCACCTGTTTCAGTGTCTGGTGAGGGCCCACTTCCTGGTTAATAGACAGCCGTCATCTTATTGTGTCCTCACATGGTGGAAAAGGACATGGAGCTGCCTGGGGTCTCTTTTGTAAAGGCACAAATCCCATTCATGGGCCCCACCCTTGTTATCTAAGCACTTACCAAAGGCCCCACCTCCTAATACCATCACATTGGCAGTTAGGTTTCAACATGGATTTTAGGGGTATGTAGACATTCAGTCTCTAGCAATCTTTATTTGGGAACATGAGTGTGGTGATATTTAAAATGGGGAAGGGATGAGAAGGGCAGGTTACTGCACAGCACGTATAGCATGTTCCTGTTGATATCAAAATGCCTTTCACTGCATAAGGGCATCACTGAGTCTGGAAGAGTTTACTCCACAATTTGAGCAGCAGTTTATATCTGGAATTGAGATTACGGAGAAAACGTTTTCTTGAGTTTTTCCCCCCCCTTAAAAATGCATTCTTTTAAGAATGGTATTTATTTTAAGTCTTTTACAGATTGCCCTATTAACTATAGTAGCTCAACTATGGCTTTTCCTGTTTGGTGGGGTCATATTCTGCCTTTTATGGTGCTGTATTTCCTCCCATGGCTTCATGTTCTTGCTGGTATGTTATTGGCCAAGGGAGAAAGTTACCTTGGGGACTCTGAATGGTGGTGAAAGCCATTTGATTAGGTGTCTTTTGGTATTTGTGCTGCTGAAGCGAGCACTGATGAGGCGTTTTATGCCTGTCTCTTCCTGAATCTTTTGGGATGGAACATCTTTGACCAGGTGTTACATTATGTTTCAATTTGACATTCTGTCTCTTGGCTACTGACTGACTATGCACTTCCTTTGCACTTTCCCATTTGCAGGCTTCACACTGGGAACTTGGTCCCCACTCCCTACCATGCCTGTGGGCTCTGACACCGATTCTAGCCATGTTGGGCTTTGAAACCAATCAATCCTTAGCATGTCAACTGTTCCAACCGGCACAGTGAGCTTTGTGCCTTCTCACTGCTGTGCTTTCCTGGTGTCTAGAGATTTCTCTTCCTTGATTTTAAGCATGGTATTACATACATTAAAAATATTTTGTTAGTATCTTTTAAGTTTTGAGAGCCTCAGGGAGGGCTTGTAGCTTGAGCTTAATCTAGCATCTTGATCTTGAAACTTGTATTACTTTCAACACTTTAAATGTATCCCTCTATATCTACAGGGTGGAATAAAAATAGGTTAACAGTTTTTCATATGGAAAATAATATAATAATTAATAAGTAATAATACAAGAATAAATTCTGTGTTTTGTGTACTCACAACTGTAAACCTTCTTTTGCCCCACCTTGTATATCCATTCTGGGAAGAATCACCCTTTTTGTCTCTCTCTTAGAATGTGGCTTTGGCCCCAGTTCCTCAAAAGGCTAGAATCCTAATTCTGGAAGGAGGTTGTCTGTGCCACCAGCTGCCTCCAGCTCTCATAGATCATGGGCAAAGCAATGGAGAACCAAGCTCACTTTTAAGCCTTTCAGTCTAGTTGGGGGGAAAAATGGATCCAATTGAAATGCTGATATGCAAAGGTTATTTACCAATATAAGTCCTAAATGCCTGTGAGCACTTGGGAATCCAGAGAGCGTGTGCGCCATTCCACAAGTTCTAGATGCAAAACTGTGTTAACTTAGCTTACAGGTGGGTACGAGGCAAAAGAGATAGGAGGTATAGCAGGTTTATCTAATTGGGAGGCACAGCAGTTATGAAGGTACAGCTTCCCACCCAGGGGCATGTACAACTACCCCAGATGAGAGCCAAAGTAGGAAAGAGTCTCCTTGACACAGAGAAGGCACAGCCTCTGTTTTCCATCAATCTCTATTTATCTTTTCAGTCATGGAGGCCTGAAGGCAACTCACAGCTCCCAAAAGACCAGATGTAGTTCCAAAGAAATAGCCCTGTGATAGACTGAGGTCCTTCTTGGATTGGCCAGGCCTGAGGCTAATGAGCCCTTTCCTCACAGAGGAAGTAGGGATGGGGCTTGCAGTAAAGGTAGAACTTGACCTGTGTTGTGAAATATGGATACAGTTCAAATACACAGCAACAGGAATGGAAGGTGCCCTTAGCAATGAAGCCTGAGTACCTTGAGCTGGGGTGTGGCAGCAGACATCCTCAGTTGTGCTCAGCAGTCAAGGTTCCTGTTGTAGAAACAGGATGGAGCAGTATGTTGGAGCCAAGTTTTATGGGATGTGAATGCTAGAATGAGGAACATGGATTTATTTTCTGCCAAAACAGGGCACTGTCCAATATGGAAGCCACTAAACACGTGTGGCCAGTTAAATGTATTAAAATAGAATAAAATGAAAAAGTGAATTTCCTTGGTCATCCTAGCCAAATTTCAAGTGGTCAGTTGCCACGTGTGTCTCGGGGCTACTGTTTTGGATAGCATAGGCAGGGAACATCACAGAAAGTTCTGGACAGCGCTGTTCTGACCTGTGGGAAGACATTGATGGTCTGTGGTACGGAAGCAAGATGAAAAAAGGAAAATGGTATGGTGTTAACATTCTCCCTGACCCTTGTCCTTGGTCCTTGGAGGACATGTGCCTCAGGCATAAGAAAAATGTCAAAGTAAGAGTCTGCTTTGAAAGTGATATTTCTAAATGCTCTAAAGGCTGGAATTGGAGTTTCCACAGCAATTTGGAAGGTGACTATAAGCAGGAAGTAGCCTGGTGGTTCCTCAGCTTGGAATGCTGGGATCTGTCCTTATACATGGCCTAAAGACAGTCTTGGGAAATTAGAAAATCTAGACTTCTAGATTTGATTTTCTTTGTTCTCACAAGGAAACTTACCCTTTCTATGTTTTTATCTGTAAAATACAAGTTTCATAAGGTTACACCTTTTTTTTCCCCCTTGCGAGCAATTTGCCAGAGCCTGTAAAGTGGTGAGTCAGAATGACGGTCAAGAGTCTTCCTGGCTTTTTGAGGGTGGCTTTTGCATGTCCCTTGTATATGTGAGACTGCCCCATACCTTTTGTTTATAAAATTTGTATCCCAGTTTTATTGCTGAGAAAAGAAGGAATTTAGATGCCTTGCTTAGTTTCTCACTAACAACTAGAGGTAGATGAATTTCAGATCAGAATCTAAGTCTCATGACTCCAAATCCAGGCATTTCTCATTCCCTTAACATTAAATGTACAAATGATTTATTTATTTGAAAAGAAAATGTAAGCTGTTCTCCCGAGAATCTGGCCTACTAGGCAAAGAACAGGTTAGAACGCTGCGTGTCGCCTTTCTAACTCGAAGAGAAACACGGAAAATCGTGATTGCTGTATTATATAATGGAGAAGCCATGCCAGCATCTGAAACAGTGAATAATGGCCCGTGTTTGGCTTTGGGATGCATCATGCAAATCTTTGGCAGCAGATGGCCTTTTCTCATTAGGCTAATATTAGATTTAGTTTGTATTCATTTGGCACAGAGTTAAAGGAGCCGGCCTGGAACCTGGTGCTGGAGGCAGGAGGAGGAGAAAGCCTGGTGCTTTGGATAAGCCACAGGCCGGTAAATGAGAGTTGACTGGAGGGCAGCTTGTAACAATGAGCAGGAAGCATTACTCTGCGATTTGAACCGAAAGCTAAAAGAATTTTGACTTGGGTTAAAAGATGAAGAGTGGGTTGTACTTAACCTTGATCAAATTACATTGCTCAGCTGTATCTGAGAAGGTCTGTGGCAATTTGGGGATAGAATGATCTAATTCTTGGCTATCTGTGTTGCTTGGCTCGGAGCGCAAGTGTCTCTCCAAATGAAGCTGCCAACCCAATATAATGTCACTAATGATATGAAAGGACATAATGCACGGGTAACATAATGAGCACACACTTTGTTAGGAATTGTCAGAAGGGTCAGGACAAGTAAGGCAAGACCGAATGACATCATGCTATGTGAACGCCAAGGCCCCAGTACACATACGCTGGGCACTTGGGAAGATCTCAGCGAAAATTACAGCAAACCCATGTTTGAGAAGGTAAGCATTTATTACTAAAGAGTTGAACTCTGAAAAGGGTTTCAATAAGTAGGGTGTATTTGAGCCATAGTTTCGTGGTAGAGTCAACAAAGAAAGGAACTTTAGCATTCTTCTGACCTTTTATAATTTGTTTTATAGATAAGGGCACTGAGACCAAGATGAGATGAAATGGCTTTTCCAAGATCTTGACACCTAGAGCTTAGTTCTTCTAACTCATGGCTAGCGCTTTCCATTCTATTATACAGTCAAATCTATACAAAACAACAAGTGTTTGAAGCCATTTGGTTAATTCGACTTTTCTGGTGAATTAAGACTGAGGTGTATGCC